TATAGTTACCAGAATCACACACAGGATATAATACGGCAGTGATCCGTTAAGCCATGTGCAAGGAACGCGCGCTATAATCCCTTTTTGACACAGAGGGCTTGAGCATAGTCAACGAGTAACATGTACATGGTGCAAAAGGATTGAAATGCATGATGCAAAACAACATCCATTCATCACTAGTCCGTCAGTGCGCGGGTCTCAACATCTGACTTTCCTGAGGCCCCTACAAGAACTTTTCCGTCGCTGCCCTCACTGCTCTGCTCGATTGTCGTTTGGGTCTTTGGCCTAACTGGACATCTTTACAGTGCACAGCAAGAGCCTATTGGTGCCGTTAGGCAACTTGGCAAGGGCACTGCAAGGGCCTGGATGTGGGCTGCGCTCTGTCAGACAGCCAGTCGTCCATCCTGTGGTCGGATCAGTCGCCTCTCCTATTACTTCCTGTCTCCCCAGTGCCTGCGTCTGCCCTGGCTGCAGTACCCTACAACGGACCTCCGGACCTAGAACAATCCCTGTAGGTGCATCCTTCTGCTCTCTGCAACTGACGACAGCTGCATGCTGCTGTTGGAGCATGTGGTGGCGCATGCTGGCACTGTGGATCTGCATATTGAGCTCAAAAGGACACAGACAGGAAGGATTCATTAGGAACCAAAGTGCAGCCTCAAAGCAAGAAGCGGCAAGAGGATCAGCTTTTGTCTTCGGAGCTGCAGCTTTCACGGAAATTTGAAGCTGGGCACCTGCACGAAGATCAACACATGATAACACAGTCGCTGGCAGTGGGATGCATTGCTGGCATGAAGCGATCAGCCTCTGTGTAGCTGTAGGGCACCTGCGTGCAGGCGCGGGAAACAGAGGATCACGCAAAGCCACTCAAGGTGATCCCGATATCTTGCGCAGGCCTTCACGCCTTGCTTGTACGGAAACAAGCTTTCTTGGATGCTGTCGAAGGTGTCTACGATGGACTGCTTGACTGGGTAGATCGCATATTCCTCTTAGTACGGGAGGCACCTCTATACCAAGTTTCCAAGAGAAATTCTGGATTTCAGGCCTTTGTAACCCGCCAGCATGCGGAACAGCAAGTAATGATGGAGGTGATTATCGTGGCCTGGGCTTACTCAACATACGGGACGCCTGTGCGACATTCTGGTTGAGCCTACTGTGGCAACTTCGGACGGTCAGGCCACGCTTTGAGTACAGTACACCCAGACCCGGGCCATGCAGTCAAGGAAGGCAAAGCAGCACTTCTTGCAGCCTCCCTCCTCTTCCTTTTCGGCCACATCCTTACCTTTGCCAAGATTTCAATCGTGGCCTGATGTGCTGTGGGCATCTCCTGAGGCTCCCGGCTGCCCTCTTCATCAGCCATGGACCTTGACCTTCCAGAACAACCATTTGAGTCTCAAATTCAGAGCTTTCACACCAATATAACCCCACTATTACCCTAATATAACTCTAATATAACCCTATACCAGACGCCTCCGAAGAGGCTGCTAGATTGATGCGGGCATGGCCCAGAGGCTGCCCAGAGGCTCAGAGCCAAGTTGCTGCGCAGGGAAAGCTTCCCCTTTTGTTGGCAGCTCTGCTTCAGTCTGCTCAGCACAAGTTTAGGGCTGTTTAGGGGTTTAGGGTTTAGGGGTTTAGGGCTGGGCAGAACCCGACAACAGACTTGTTACTGCTTCCTACGTTCCTGCTACTTCGGCCACTGAAGCTGCAAGCTTTTCCAAATTCACATGTTGCATCAGAATCGAAAAGCTATAGCAAATCTAAGCCTAAGCACGAAACATAACTGAGTGCCTTTTGTTAGTGGTTGAACTCAGCAAGACTATATTCGTAATAGAACATGCTATACCCAAAAGGCGGGATATGATTCCTACTCTATATTGAGGACTAGAGTATCAAAAAAAAATGCAACTCAACTGGATTTGGGCATCCTTGGCTTCGTAGAACAAGCCCATTTGCTCGTTTCGCTGCTTCACATGCTGCTTTTTAGCTGCTTCGTAACAGTTTAGGCTTTTGCCAGGTCTTGTGTGCTTTTATTTGCAAAAGTGGCCCGTGTGTGAAGCTCACCGGCCGGTGAGCTGTCACTAGCTACGGCTAGCTACGGCTAGCTACAGATCCCTCCGCGTTTCTGTGGTTTTTGAGGCACTGCGAAGGGATCAATGTTGCCTTGTTCTGTTTCTTCATCTCCTATAAGGTCTTAGCCTCAGGTCATGAGCAGCTCTGCTGCAGCATTCTCATCCCTGCTTAGTTCTTTGGGCTTTACCTTCTCAGTTTTGGAAGAAACTCTGCGAAGCGAATTAGAGGCAAGTGGTGATCATGAACAGGACAACCGACACCTCCAGAAAAACCTTTGGCATGTACAGTGCTGGCATATGCCATCACCCCGCCAACAAAAAAAGATGTGAGGCGAGTTCTCAGAACTACTTTTGAGATGAGCGATTCAAGCGTGGGGCCTTAGGTGAGCTGGGTGAGACGGGCACCTGCCACGAGTCTCAACCACCTCCCTTACATCTTTTTACATCTCTGTATCCTTGTGGTCCGTACATGTAGAGAAGAACGAAATTGTTGAAGGGCTATGGCTTTATCTTACAACACGCGTATGCAATCCAGGTGGAGAGATCCGTGCAGTCGCTGGCGGCGCGGCCTCGGCGACATGACCACCAGAACCTGAGGCTGTCAAGTGAGATGGTTGAAGCCTTTGCGTGACTTGAAGCGCACTGAGCTGTGGTTGTTATGCTACGTAAATTGTTCTTACCTTCCGCGTCCTCCCACGGCCAGGGTGTCTTCAATTTGTTTTACATCTTGCCAGTTGCTGCTTCCACGAACCTTCTGCGAACCTCTTCGCTTCCACAAGATATCTTTTGCTCATGGAATACCTTTGGAAGATGAGATGCTGCCGCTTTCTGCTGTCTTTCTGTAAGATCAGATTCGCATTATTCAGCAAGACTAAATCTCATGTTCTCAGTTTCTGAGGATGCTCAAGCATGCTGGTTGGGCATGTCCGATCTCCTGTGAGTCGGTTTCATCATACGCCTGGCCTTCTAAGCAGGCTGCCTCACGTATATTTTGCAAGTAATCGTATTCCAGGGAGTCCTCAAGAAGCCCTTACCTGGAACGACATCGGCCATAGCCTACACAGTTTTGAACCACACATGGCTAAAAACGCAACAGAAGTGGCGTGTGTTGAGCTAGCCTGGCAAAGACACATCTCGCTTGCAGCCTCCATTTGTCGCAAACATAGGTCAGGCTCTGAGCTGCGCTCACCGGGACCGACCTGGGTTTGGCAAAGCTATTCCACACTTCTATCACCTAAAAAACGGCCATGAATTCCACACGGCTTCTTCCACTATTTTTTCTAGCACTGCCACGGCTACGCAACATGCAAAACCAAACTCTTTCAATACTACGAAGATGACGTCGCTACAGAACCGACACCATATCTGAGAACTTCCGAGTTCGAGCCGAAGTGACACCCAGCTTCTGTCGTCTCTAAATTATCTTCATCTGGAAAGTCTAGCCCTCATGGACTTCCAGCACTGCGCCTGCAAACTCGTTCGCAGACAGTTTTTCCTTACTCAGAGGGTCCATGTACCCAATAATGAGGTACTTGGGATCTGGGTAATAGTCATTTTGGTACAGGTTTTGGGGAAGTATGCAAATATTAGGCACTTGGACCCTTAGGGTTAGCAAGAGTTGGGCCTCAAATTTGGCTAAAATTGATGCCCGCCAACCCCTAGCTTGTCGTCACTCGGCAAAACAGATGGTCGGAACGAGATCTAGGAAATTAGGGAGATCTCTAATTCTTAAGAGTCGTGCATTAGTCTTGGGGGCGGATATCAGAACTTGGAATTCTGGGGAACCTGTGTTTTGTATTGGCGGGGTTGAATGTTAGGGGGACACGATTACTGGGGCGAACCTTGGACTAATGAAGCAACTAGAACTGAGCCCTCGCACTCTTGGACTCACGGGGCAAGCCTTCGAGTGTTGACTACGTACGGGAAACGATGCTTGGGTTCATGTGGCAAACTTCGAAAAACTTGAGCTACTGGGCAAATACCACATTCATTCACCACTCTGCACACCCTCAGACTCATGAAGCGAGCCCTGGACTAATGACTAATGGAATAATTGACACTTAGGCTCATGGGGCGAAATTTGAACTAGTGGAGCGACTAGAAAATCAAATCAGAACTCCTCACACCCTTGGACTAATGGGGCGAAACTTGGAGCCTTGGGCTCGTAGCGATATTTGGAGACTATTGGGGCGACTAGAAAATTAAATTAGAACTCATCATCCTTGTACTAATGGGGCGATTATAAACACAAGCCAGAACTCCTCCACACTCCACACACCTTCCGACGACAGACAGTAATGGGGCAAACTTTGAATTCGTCTTCACCCCACGGCCAAAGAGGTCCAAAATCCTCTTCGAAAACCGTCTTCGCCATCAACTTCGTCTTCGCTCCCAGCCCGAACGGGTCCGAAAATCGTCTTCGCACATCATCTTCGCCAACCCATTTGTCTTCGCCTCTTGGCCAAAGGAGTCCGAAAATCGTCTTCGCCAACAATTCATCTTCGCCCCCTGGCCAAAGAGGTCCGAAGATCGCATTCGAAATCGTCTTTGCCAATAAATTCGTTTCCACCCGCTGGCCAAAGAAGTCCAAGAATCGTCTTCGAAAATCGTCTTCGCCAATAAATTGTCCTTCGCCACTCGGCCAAAGAGGTCAGAAAATTGTCACCTCGTCGAAATTTGTCTTTACTATTGCTCCCAGGGAATGAGGTCCGAAAATCGCCTTCAGCAATTAATTCAATTCGCCTTCGAAAATCGTGTTCACGCCGCAGCGGATGGACTCCAAAATCGTGTTCCAAAATCGTCTTTGGCACGAATTTCGTCTTCGAATATCGTCTTCGCCAGCTAATTTGGCTTCGGCGTTGTGTCGGGCATCCACAAGACATGTCTTCGAAAGTGGTCTTCGTCAACCCTGCAAATCTGACACCCCCTGTCCCGTGTCAATGGACTATAAGATGACAGCATGCTGTATGTACATATGCTAGGATCTTGGGGCCTGTGGAATAGCTAATTCTGCGAACCATCCAAAAAGAAAACTATGCCTATCTTCACGACTCCAGGCCCCATGGCGTAGCCTTCTGTTGGCATAATGGCCGTCACATGGCTAGCCCTCACCATGTCGTTCAATTTTGCAAGCGGTTCTTTAAGTCCCAAACCTCCCACTCCAAACAAATCGCCCGAAGCCAGCGCTGGCTCTCAACCCGAAACCAAATATCAACCATAGGAGCAGCATCAGCCCTGCATGGGAAAGAGCATCGCGCAACAATCTTTAAATATTGTTTTGTGGCACGCTTGCCGCTGGATGCTGTACGTCTGGATCGTCGGATCGTCTAGGAAGCTGCTGAGCTAATACTGCTTCCAAATGTTTGGCTATCCCGCCCATGTAGATCACCAGCAATGTTACCGCAACACCCATCGTACTAAAGGCAGCGCGCCACTTCCTACTTCATGATGAGACGCAAATCAAGTGAGCCATGGTTCCAGGCCATACTGGTACTGGAAAGTATGCTTGCAGATGTCGCACACCGAAAATGCACAAGAAATCACGCCAGCAAGGTCATGCCACGAACTCCTGCACAAGCCGAATTTCACCGATTCCATCCAATGACTCGGAGTCGCTGCCAATGACGAAGGCACACCTCAGCCCTCCATTCGACAAAGCAGGGGACGCCCAGGCTCCCAGGGTCAGGACACTGCCTGACGGTTGGGTTCGCGACCAGTCCTGTTTCCTGCAGGCGATGTGGCTAATTGGTAGTTTCTCAAAATAGGGGGACCCCAATATAGACCCCAAAATACTATAATCCTTATTGTGGGACCCCAAAAAGGTACCCCTAATTTTGGGAAACTCCCAATTCTGAATGATTTCCGGTTTTCCTCTGGGCTGGGTCCTGGCAAACGGCTAAGCCCAAACCCAGACCCCTGCAAGGATCCAGAAAGTAAAACCCCCAATATGCTACTCTATACTACTATTGGGTAATTTCTAGGAACCCTTAAGGGGGATCCACTTTCTAGATCCAGGTCTGGGAAGGGCTATGCAAATTGACCTCTGGGCCCAGCACTGGAGCTGGAGCGGCGGCGCCTTCCCTGAGCTCAGAGTCAGCTCAGAGTGAAACAGGACCCTCCTTGTATCCTTAATTGGGGATATATGG